CTCTGTCAGTGCTGTGGGTGTTGGAGAGGCTGGGCCCCATTCCGGGGAGGGTCAGGGAGACCAGCGCACTGGACCCTGCCCCTGGGAGGTGTGGTGGCCCCTCAATCTCTCCATGGCAGGAGCAGGGCCAGGCCGGGGCCGTCTGCAGAGGACAAAGACACAGGCTGGCCCCACCCACCCCCTGGGTCCTGGTGTTGTGTGTCCTCCGCACCCTGCATGACGATGCTCCTCCACTCCCTCAAGGAGTCTGAACCCCAGTTGTGAGGACCCCACCTATTGAGCCCCCTCTAGGGCCTCCAGCTGGACCAGTGGCCCACACAGAGCCCCCACCGCAGGCCCCAGCTGAGAAAGGCCCTGGCTGGCCTGGCTGAGCCTCGCCTCCTGCCCCCAGCCCGCTCTGCCCACCTCTCCCCTCCCTGCTCCCCTCTCCTCTCCTCCTCCCTTTCCTTCTCTCTCCCCCTTGCTCTCCCCTCTCTTCCCTTCCCTCTCATCTGTGGCTTCCGTTCCTGGCTCCCCCTGGGGACCCTGCACTGTGTCCCAGCTTTGTCCCCGGGCAGCAGGAGGCCCTCAGCTGGGTCTTCGGGTGCAGGAGGTGATGGAAGAACAGTATGGAGAGGAGAGGTGGGTCAGGGCCCCGCGTGGAGGCCGGGCACTGGAGAAGCCCGCCCACTCCTTTGGGGCCACAGCCTTGCTGGGGGTCCTGGAGGCAGCTTTGAGCATGGGGGACTTAAGACCTCCCATACTCATCTCTGCCTTTCCCCAGGCTTGGCCGCAGGGCCACACCCAGTCCTGTGTGAGACAGGCGTGCCCACAGCCCCCTCAGTGTCTCCTCCATGCTGGTGCTGACCAGGGCAGCCCGCTAGTCACCAGGCGGTCAGGCCTCACCTGCTAGAGTCCGCCTGCCTCACCCCCATACACCTGCTCATGGCCCATCCAGCCTCCGGGGACGAGGTCGCTAAGACAGAGTGCACGGCCAGGAGTCAGGTCCTTCTCCACCCAGGACTGGGCCCCACTCCCAGATAGCCCCACAGGCAGGGACATCCAGACTGGCCCAGGGAAGACCCAGCTTCCCAGTGGCAGGAACAGCCACCCTTTCCCAGGGCCTGTCACTTTACCCTAGTCAAAAAGTGACCGCAGAAAGCTGAGGGTCTGACAGGAAGAGGGGGTGACAGGACCCGCAGGACAGCCAGTGCCACCGTGCTCAGCATATGGCCCTCTGCAAGGCCAGTTTTAGCCCTGAGTCCTGGCCCACCCATCCTCCTGCACTGTGCATGGGCACTCTGTCCCTAAAGGGAGAGAGCAGGAGATTCAAACAGTCTCGAGGTGGGAGCCTGCTCTGTGCACCCCCATCTCCCACATCTCCTCCCAGCCCCCCCCAGGAGACCAGAGGACCAGCCACCACCAGGCAGAGGAGGCACAGGGGGATCATCCTCGGCCCCCTCTGGTCTCCAGAGAGAGGCAAGGCCCTGTCCCTTCTCTGTAATCTCACAGGGAGGAGCTGTAGGCACCCAGTGCTCAGGGCAGCTGCTGGGGATGGACCGCCCCGGGGTGGCAAGATAGGAGCAGGTAGCCACGGCTGGTGGGGCAGCAGGTGGCTTCAGGTGGGCCTCCTGCTGAGCTCTGCGTGGTCCTGAGGTCTCCTGTCCAGCTGTTTCACTGGCAAAGCTGGAGGGAGAACCTGCTCCATCCCGCTCAGGGCCAGGCAGGCTGTTCCGGTCAGATCTGAGCCCTCGCCCGTACGCGGGGCCTGCCCTGTGAGCCAGCTGCCCAGGCCTGCCACCAGCCTCAGCATCAGAGTAGCCTCTCTTCCCCCTGAGGGGAGGGGGACTGACAGGTGAGAAGCAGGGAGAGAGGGTCGCAGGGACATGGCAAGGGGGAGAGGGGGACTTCTGGGGTCCCAGGCTTGCACATGGCATGGCCAACTGGGGGGCAGGGGGAGCACACTGGTGGCAGCCCCTCGTGGAAGGTCTCCTAAGACCTGCTCTAAGGTGACACACACACTTGGCCACCGTGAGCCTCCCTCCGGGGTCCTGCACTCACTGGACCTAGGCCCTGCCTGTGGCCTTAAAACAAGACTCGCCTGGGGCCCTGTGCTCTCCCCACTCCCCCGTGCCTGCAGGGCCCCCTGCCGCTGGCAGACAGCTGGACCAGGGCACCGTTAGCAGCCGCAGAGGCTGGGGCCTGGAGAGTGCTGGCCTGAGTGCCTCAGACAGGGAGGAGGGCGAGGTCAGGTGACAGGGAGAAATGGAAGGTGGGCACCTCCTTCAGCCAGGCCTCACCACCCGGATTGCCCACCCAGTCCCTAGCCAGTCCCCTCCCTCCTGAACAGGAAACTCAGGACTCTGTGGTTTCAGGGCACCAGGAGAGAGCAGAGTGGACGTCCCTGGCCTCCCGGCCTCCACCCATTCCACCCTTCCCTGGAGATGGAGTGGAAGGAAGGTGGCCAGCGCATAGCTGCCCCCGACCGCAGCCAGGAGGACCAGGCCTTCAACCTGGTCATTCTGGCCCTCACGGAGCTGCTCAGCCTGGGCGGGCTGCTGGGCAACGGGGTGGTCCTCTGGCTGCTCAGCCGCAACGTCTACAGGAACCCCTTCTCCATCTACCTCCTGGACGTGGCCTGTGCCGACCTCATCTTCCTCAGCTGCCACATGGTGGCCGTCGTCCCCGACCTGCTGCCCCGCCAGCTGACCTTCCCAGGCTTCGTCCAGACCAGTCTGGCCACACTGAGGTTCTTCTGCTACATCGTGGGCCTGAGCCTCTTGGCAGCCATCAGCATAGAGCAGTGCCTGGCCACCCTCTTCCCCGCCTGGTACCTGTGCCGCCGCCCGCGCCACCTGACCACCTGCGTGTGCGCGCTGGCCTGGGCACTCTGCCTGCTGCTGGACCTGCTGCTCAGTGGGGCCTGCACCGAGTTCTTCGGGGAGCCCAGCGGCCACCTGTGCAGGACGTTGTGGCTGGTGATGGCGGCCCTGCTGGGCGCCCTGTGCTGTGCCATGTGCCTGGCCAGCCTGCTCCTGCTGCTGCGGGTAGAGCGGGGCCCACAGCGGCCCCAGCCCCGGGGCTTCCCCGCCCTGGTCCTGCTGGCCGTCCTCCTCTTCCTCTTCTGCGGCCTGCCCTTCGGCATCTACTGGCTGTCGCGGAACCTGCACTGGCACATCCCCCACTACTTCTACCACTTCAGCTTCCTCATGGCCGCGGTGCACAGCTCCACCAAGCCCGCCGCCTACTTCTGCCTGGGCAGCACCCAGGGCCGCAGGCTGCGCGAGCCCCTCCGCCTGGTGCTCCAGAGGGCCCTGGGGGACGAGGCTGAGCTGGGGACCGGGAGGGAGGCTTCCCAAAGGGGCCTGGTGGACATGACGGCCTAGGCCCTCGTCCCAACCTCAGCTCTGGCCTGGAAGCCAGGGAGCTGCCCACCAAGGGGACCTCCGAAGGAGGTCTCTGCTGATGACCTGCCTGTGAGGTCCAGTGTCACCCTCACTCCCCGTGTGAGGCTCACTGGGGAGGCTGCTGGAGGGTCTCTGGGGAGGCAGCCTGGGAATTTGCACTTTGAGGACACCCCCCCAGGGCCATTGTCATGCCCAGGAACTCATGAGAGCCCCTGGGTTACACCCACGTTCCCCAGTGACAGCAAGAGGCAGGCAAGGAAGGGAACAGGCCAGTCCCCAGGTGGGAGCAGGCCAGCCGTCTCCCACCAGCTCATCCTGCCTCCCCCGTCTGCCTCCCCCCAGCCAAGGGCACACCCCGGATGTGTGGGGATGGGACAGTGTGGCCCGCCTCAGCTCCCCAAGGCCCTCCCTCCAGTGTGTCTACCATGCCCTGAGATTGGAAGCTGGCTCAGGCATGGGCAATGAGGCATCAGAGGACCCTGGGTGGCTGGATCTCAGAAGAAAATGTCCGCCAGACCCCCACACCCTGGCCAGTGAGCGGAGGCTGCCCCCTCCCCCTGCACCAAGAGCAGAGCTGGCCCCTGGTGCAGGGTGCTCGGGCCAGCAGCCCACTGAACCCCGGGGAAGCTGGGTCAGGCTGCGCCCCTGGCAGACTGCTCGGACTACCCCCAGTGTCCACCTGGGTTCCTGCTGTGCTCTCCGGGCGTCGTGAGGCCCATCCAGGCAAAGCCCCAGCAGCTTCTGCGTCATTGGCTCATGTCCCATTAGGAGCTTCAGCTGAAAATTTGTGACATCCCGAGTGCCAGTGACCTCCCCACGAGGCGGCCGTGGGTGGAGGGCTCTGAGGCCTACCCTGCACAGCTGTGGCAGAGGAAGGCAGACAGGGGCTTGGAGGGGCTTCCAGAGCCTGGGGTTGTCGCTGACCACCGGCCCCTCATGTATGACTGGGTCCTGGACCACGCAGACCTCTCCCCAAGCTTCAGGCAGGCTGTTCTGCAAGAGCTCCTTCTGCATCGTGAGAAGTGCCCTGAGTGGGCAGGAGGCCCTGGCAGTCCTGCCCACACCTGGAGCTGCCCCACAGGACAGTCTGGACTTCAGCTCTCGGGCAGCCCCCCACCTGCACCTCCCGGGTGGGCATGTCCCACTCAGGAGGGTCGCTCTGAGGACACAGCCCACGCTCTGCCCTCAGCAGGCTGCAGAGCTCCCTGGTACTGGGCCTGGGGCTCAGAGGTGACCCAGAGCTGCTCCCTGAGCGTCTCATTTCCCAGTGCCCGAGCCAGCTTCCAACCTCAGGGGTCAAGGGCAGGGGCTTCGGAGCCCTCCAGCCTGGGCCGAGCCAGTTCCCACCACCCCGTCTCCATGGGCGGGTTGCTCAGCCTCCCCCTGCCCCTCTGGGCCATCTTTAAAGCACTAGAGCCAAGTGACTTCACAGCGTGACAGGCTGTGAAGTGTGCCTGGTGCCTCATGAGTCAACAGAACTTCACCACGTCACTGAGCCTCCAGGCCCAAGACCACCACACGTCCTAACCTGGGTGTCCTGGAGATCTTTACAGCTGCCAGGACCTCCTTCTCACCTGGAGTGGCCGGGCCGTGGCCAGTGTGAGGTTCAG